GGTGGTGCATGCCCATAATCTTAGCAGTGGAGAGGCTGAGGCAGGAGGATCACCAGCCTGGGCTGCATAGTGACTACTAGGAAGACTACAAACTGGTGCAAATTGGCAAACTTTTATATGAATGTTAAAGTATATAAAATTTTAAAATATGCCACTTTTTCCTTTAACTCCCCGTTTAGAAATTTTTTTTGGGCCAGGGATTTAGCTCAGTGGTGCTGCTGCCTGCCTCAAAAATAAGAAATTTTTTTTCTGTTCAGTTCATGAATTTAATTCTTTCCACAATTCTGGTTGCAGAATTTGTACCACAATTCTGGTTGCCACCGAGGTGCCACTGTAAATACTGATGGCTTACCACAAGAAAACGATAAATATGTAAGCTATATTAATTAGCTCTGTTTAGCCATTCCACACTGCATACATATTTCAAAACACCATGTTGTACAGAATAAGTATATACAATTATTATTTGTCAACTAAAAACTGTTTTGAACATGGAAAATAAACCAATGAGTATAAAAATGCATATACAAACATTATTTATAACTGAAAATAAATGGAAAGAACCTAAATGTTCATCAGCACATGAATGGCTAAATAAATGATGATCCATGCTAGGTGTAGTGGCACATGCCTGTAATCCCAGCACTCTGGAAGACCAAGGCAGGAGGATCACAAATTCAAGTCCAGCATGGGCAACTTTAGTGATTTAACAAGGCCCTGCTCAAAATAAAAAATAAATTAAAAAGGGCTCAGGATGTAGCTCAGCGTGAAGGCCCTGGGTTCAATCCCCAGTACCAACAAATAGGTAGATAGACAGATAAAAATAGAGGCAGGCCCACAGGCACCCACGTGGAAATACCTACATGTCATAGCTACCTGTGTGCGAATGTACATATCGGACCACACTGGGCCTGGAGTGAAGAAAGGTTGGCACGTGTTCCCTCTGTGCAGGGAGTGACAGTCACATGTGCATACCACATCACTGCAGTTCAAACATTATACAGCAGACATATGTTCAAGTAGTATTCAAAGGCTCCTGTTTGCCTGCACATGCACTATTTTTTTTTCTGGTCCTAGGGATTGAACTCAGGACCGTGTACCACTGAGCTAAATCCTCAGCCCAATGTGCCCTATTCTAACTGGAGAGAAAATCACAAATATGTGTGAGTGTCTGATCATCCATCACCAGGCTCCCAGTATTAATGTCTTGCACACCCCCAGCACACCATCAAAACCAGGAAATTGACAGTGGTACCATCGGCTGGACTTGCTAGGATTTCAGTTACATGTGCTCTCGCTTACATGTTGGTGCAGCTATGTACAAGCTCATCATGTGTAGCTTTGTGCAACCACCACTACAAAAAGGAGACTTTTTAAAGCATCCCCTTAGGCTGTAAACTGATCAATTCCTATTTCACATCTTTCTTGTCTAAACAGAAAAGAAATCGTTTTCAAATTCAAGAAATGAAAATGCAAATTGTGAAGAACTTAAAATTCAAAACAGGTGGCAGTGATAAGGGCACAACTGGCCATTTAGAAATAAATCAGGACTCCAAGCCGAGACAAATTATAGACTTGAGCATTAAAAGAATTTACAAATCTCATCACAAATACACATTCCTAATTCTGAGTAAACATGCACAAGAGAAAAAGTTCTAGAGGAACAAAAAAGGATGGATTTTGTCTCTTTTTTTCCTCGGTGCTGTGGATGGAATCCAGGGCCTCACTCACACATGCTAGGCAAGCACTCCAGTACTAAGCAACATCCTGCCTTTTACATTTTTGAGACTGGTCTTTCTATGTAGACCAGGTGGCTGGGATCACAGGCATGTGCCCACATGTCTGGCAATGCTCTGTATCTTTTTTTTTGAGACAGGGTCTCACTGTGTAGTTGAGACTGAGCTGGAACTCACTCTGTAGCCCAGGCTGACCTCGAACTCACAGCGATCCTTCTGTCTCAGCCTCCCAAGTGCTGGGATTACAGGCGTGCTCCACCACACCCAGCTAATGCTCTGTATCTTGATGTGTGTGGTGGGTATATGGGTATCCGCAGTCATCTACACTCACCAAACTGTATACTTATGTCCTATGCATTTAATGGAACATCAGCTTTACCATGATGACAAACATCTTGCAGGGACTTCAGAGCAATTATCACATACAAAGGGTGGAGAGTGTTATTTTAAATTCATTTTGAACACAGAAGTTCAACTCCTTGGAGAAATTCAAAGAAAACCCAAGTTAAGATACAGAAACTCATGGCATTCTCCTGTGGCCAGGTTAGATGTGCAACTCAGAGATGGCCCCTAGGAGCTGGAGTTCACCTGCTGATACATGCACAACACAGTGTCCACCAAGCACCTCCTTGAGCCAGGCCCTGGAACAGAGAGGGGAATGGGCGAGAGAAAGTCTTTGTCCTCCCTAAGTGAACGATTTCTAAGAAGACAGCCGAAGAGACGGCAGGGTGACCAGAGCGCATGACAGGTGCAATGCAGGAGAACACAGGCATGAGTTCTCAGGAGTCAACAAAGGTGTGGGGCGGACCCAAAATGTCAGAAGTAGGCAGGGAGGATCTCTTGAGAAGTGGTGCTTGAGTTGTGTCATGCAATGAAGGACAGAACGCGTGGGACAGACAGAAGAGACAGTGCAGAGGTTCTGAGGCAGGAATATGAAGAAATCACAGTGAATCATCATGGCTTGTACTCACTGAACATGGAGTAAAGAGGGGGCTGGGGTTGGGTTGAAGAGCTGGACAGGGGCCAGAACGTGGAGGTTCCATGGCCAGGGTCGGGAGCACTCGGGGTGACAGACTAAGACAATGGAGAGGTGATGTGTGCAGAGCAGGGCAGATGGGAGTGGGAACACAGATGGAGCAAAGGCCATTTAGGAAGTTACTCCTGCACTGGTGTTGACATGGGCCACGGTGTCCCCAACAGAGATGGAGGATTTAGCCAGATTCTAGAAGCAGAACTCACAAAACTGCTGATGCGATCAAGATAAAAAAATGAAGAAAAGGAAGGTCTGGCAAATGGTGATGTTACTTACTAAGAAGGGGAATTCTGGGGCAGAGCAAAGCGGGGGGAATCAAGAATTGCATTTTAAGATGCCTGTGTAAGCAAGAGAAGCCACCAACAGAGCAAAGAGAGACCACAGAGTGGAGAAAAAAAATGTAAAAGGACTATTATCCAGAATATACAAAGAACTCAAATAATCAGACCCCCCCAACTTCAAAGACCCAATCCAAAAACGGACATCTGAAATGAAAAGACTTTTCAGATGAAGAATTAGAAATAGGAGGGGCTGGAGATTTAGCTCAGTGGTGCCTGTGCCTGCCTTGCAAGAGCAAGGTCCTGAGTTAAAACCCACATACCAAAAAAACACAAAACAAACAAACAAACAAAAACAAGAAAAAAGAAACAGCTAATAAGTATATGAAAAAAGTGTTCAACATCACTGGTAATTTGTAAAATGCACATTAAAACAACGCTGAGATTTCATCTCACTCCAGAAAGAATGTCTGCTATCAAGAAATCAACCAATAACAAATGATGGCAGGGCTGCGGGGAAAAAGGAACCCTGCTCCACTGTTAGTGGGAGTGCACACTGGTACAGCCACTGTGGAAATCAGGGTGAAGATTTCTCAAAAAACTAAAACCAGAGGTTCCATTTGACCCAGCTATTTCCCCTCTTGGCATCTTCCCTAAAGAATTAAAAGCATCATACCACAGCAATATAGGCACATCCATGTTTATAGCAGCACCGTGTATATTAGCTAAATCTTGGAAACAGCCCAAATGCCCATCAACTGACAAGTGGATAAAGAAGATGTGGGTTTTTGCACAATGGAGTACTACTCTGCCATAAAGAAGGATGAGGTTCAGACATTTATAGCTAAATGGATGGACCTTGAGACCATACTCTTAAGTAAAATAAATTGGACAGACATGTTTAAATACCATATTGCTTCTCTGGAGTGAGAAACTAGAAGTGGAAATAAGGACTGAAAATGTATAATAGATATTGGGAAGTGAGATAAAAATGTTCCAATAGGGGGGAAGGGGATAAAATTAGGATAAAGTTTATTAAAGGGAAAAAAAAGATGCCTGTGCCCTCTGCAAGTGGACATGCCAAGGAGGCACGAGACAGAGCCTGAGGCTCAGGAGGGACAGTGGGGCCGGCAATGTAAAGTTTGAGGTCAGTGTCACATAGATGGTACTGGACTCAGGGCAGTGTGGACAGAAAAGCTCAAGGCACCTGACGACATCAGAACCCCTACTATACAGGAAAACACAAAGGGGAGGGAAGAAAGCCAGGTCTTCCTGGAGGTCCACCGCTGTGTTCCCAGGCCCCAGCTGGGCTCGGGCACACAGCAGACCCTCCTCTTGTGAGCAAGGAAGGAGGGAGGGAGGGAGCTTGGCCACTGTGCCAACTAGATGTTGCTGTAAGAGACAACGGGAGAGCACCAAGTCCACCATCTTTAGCAACATCAGAAACTGATCCACAGCATTGTTGACAAGAGCTTTGTCATGATTGTGGGAACAGAGCCAGGGCTCTGGCATTGGAATAGAAATCAAGATGAACGTGGAATGTCAGCTGGGCCCCAATCCCACAATGACTCACAAACTTCCTGCTGCAGTACCCGCGACCAAGCCACTTTCTTACTGTTCCACCCAAATGAGATCCTCCCCTCTTGTTAAATTCGAGACCCACGAGGATGCAAGGGGACAGGCATTGCCATGGGAGAGGAGAGAAGGGCTTTGTGGGCTTGCGATTTGGCCATATGGCCAACTTAAGTCTACACCCTGGCCTGGGAATCCTCACATCAGCTACTGACTCCTACAGGCCACCCATCTACCTGCTCCCTAACCCCAGCTGCCCAGCTTCATCTTATCTCCTCAATGGTGATAGGTGCAGTGCTCACCAAAGTTCTCATCCCTTCTACTGCCGGAGAAAAAGAAATCAGTGAATAAACAAGCCCATTGCCCATTGCCTGGACTTACCAGGAACGGTTAGAACAGAGGGAGATTTTTCAGGCCGTTCATTAATGCGGCTGCTGTTTTGAACCCAGAAAATGTCAACGGGCTCAGGGGGGCCCACAGCCTGGCAGGTGAGGTTGAAGGCTGTGTTTCTTGAGATGTTGAGGTTCTCGGGCTGCTTGGTGAAGTAGGGAAGTCCTGCAGGGAGAGTCAGAGGAAGGTGGGTCAGACCCTAACCCAGAGGCAGAGTCCCGGGGTTGACATATCGATTCCAGTCTGAAACGGCCAGTTGCTCCCTTTGACCATCCAGAGGCTCATTCCTACCTGTCACCTCTGGTCAACTTCCTAGAATACCTTCCCTGGAGGCTATAAATGCTGATCCAGAACTGGTTTTTCCAGAAAGAGTTTAAACATCTACAGATATATATTCTCTCTCTCTCTCTCTCTCTCTCTCTCTCTCTGTCCCTCCCTCCCTCCCCCCCTCCCACACACACCTCTCCCCTTCCAGTGCTGGGAATACAACCCAGGGCCTTACCTATGCTAGGCCAGCACTCTCCTAAGCTACAACCCCCAGTCTGCACACACATAGTTCCTAACTCAGATATTGCTCAAACACATGGGACTGGCTGGCAGGTTTCCAGTATTGCTCACCAAAACAAATACAGACTAAAAATAAAGCTCCGTATTTGATCTGCCTGAGTTTTGCAGAAAATCTGTTGTGTGTGTGTGTGTGTGTGTGTGTGTGTGTGTGTGTGTGTGTGTGACTTTCAGATGAGTGAAGACGGATTTTAAAGTCTGTGCACTTGGGGCTGGGATATAGCTCAGTGTGGCAGAGCATGTGCTCTGCATGTGTGAGGCCTGGATTCAATCCTCAGCACGCACATGCAAAATCCATAAGTGAACATAGGGTTGAATATTTTTCAAAGTACATTTTCATGAAAACAGAATAGACAGTTCCACAGTACAAATCTAAAATCTACTGTAATTTCAAAATCAGGGCTATAAGGAAGCTTAGGAAAATCTCAGAAAAAGCCAGTGAGTACTTATATGGGGCATTTATCCAAAATTTTAATAGGCAGAGATGACTATCAGCAGGCATTCAAACTGTGTTCTTTTGGGATTGGGAGCTCTAAAATCTGGTTCCAGCAGGAATGGTGTAGGAAATATACGAAATAGGATTCTTTTTTCCAGTTTCAAGGGTTTTCTCTTTGGATTTAACATGTTACTGCCCTGGGCATTATTCTGGGATCTGAACAAGTAAAATGCCCTCTCAGAATTTTCTCCAGAGTAGCAGCAAATGCAGGGGACCCCTTAACTCTGTCCAGCCTGGAATGGGCCCAGAGAAAGGTCCAGGAGAAACTTCTGAGGATCCTCCTTTTCTTTCTTTCTACCTGTCCCACTCCCTCCCTCTTTTCACTCATCTTCCCTCTCTCTGGCCTCACCCATTACTGGGGATCAAGTTCACAGGGAATGTAGCAGAGAAGACTTCAGTGGGAGATGCTTCTGCCTGTTCTAAAGCCTGCCGTGTGGAAGCTCTGAGAAAATAGAAGACAGCGGATGTGATGGTCTTGCTGCTGGGGCACCCAAGAGGGCAGGGATACAGGGCAACCCCTGGGGCAGGGGAGTAACCACTTGGGTAGCAGTAAAGGTGCTTCCTCCCTGTAGCCTCCACTGACAGGCCCAGCCCCTGTAGACCAGGCATCCAAACTCAGGCCCAGGGTGCCAAGAGCATCATCTGGCCTGGCTCATCTGTGCACCCAGTCACTTTTCCCACTAGCAGTAAGGATCCTCAAGGGCTAAGAGTGACTGTTCCTTGTCTGACATCTCCCTTCTCATCCCCAGTGGCCCCTATGTGATGTCAGGAAAAATGTCATGGACTTGCTTTAAACTGTAGGCCTGGAGCAACTAGTAAGGAACCTAAGCCAAGCGTAGTCCCAGGCTTGGCTGTGGACCTGGCCCAGGAAAAGCACTCACCCTCCTGTGTTCTACCATCACATACACAGGATGGGAAAGGATGCTGAATAATACCAAACACCACTGGACCAGGTGAATGGAGTGGTGCCACTATCAAAAATTGGACAATACGATGCGTTTTGCTCCCTAAAAAGAAATCTTTAGCTTATTTGTTAAATGAGTATTAAAAAAAAACCCATGAAGTCCAAGATCTCTTTTAATCTTACCTCTCATGCTAGTATAGAGCTTGAACTTTAAGAAGTTAAATTAATTTTGTTATTATCTAACATTTAAAAAGAGGATTGTCTTATAAAATTTCAACCCTAGTGGATTTGCAAGGTTTGCATGCAGAGCTATAAATAGATAGGTTGATTTCTAGGGTGTTATCCACAAAACATTGAATACAGGCTCTAAAACAGGTCTCAGGCAAAAGGACACTCTGGCCTCTGACTTACCTTGTACCTCGATGTCAATGGGGTCAGACACAATCTCGATATTGTTTACTTTCATCTTACAAATATATGATCCACTGTCTGAGCGCTGCACACTGGTGATGCTTTAAAGAAAAACACAGAAATATATTTACAGAGACTATTCTTTGAGTCTCTAATATAGAAACAGAAAATTCTTCCAATTTCATTGTCACGTGTTATATAGTTGATATTATGTGTCAACCAGACCAAGCCACGGTAGACAGCTGCTTGGCCAAACACCAGTACAGACATTGCTGTGAAAGTATTTTTCAGATGCCACTGAGATTTACATCAGCACCCTTTGAGTAAAGAAGATTATCATTTACAATAAAAATGTGGGCCTTTTCTACTCAGTGGAAGGCCTCACAAAAAGATTGACATCTTCTGAAGAAGTGGAAATTCTACCTCTGAACGGCCTCTGGATTAGATACTATAAGATTGGCTCCAACACACATGCTTCTGATTTCAGATTTGCCAGTCCCTCCTGTAGCATGAGCAAATTATTTAAAATAAAGGGGTGCCAAGCCCACCTCTCTCTCTCTCTCTCTCTCTCTCTCTCACACACACACACACATACACACACACACACACACACACACACACACACACACACACTACTGATCTGATGAACCCTGACTAGCACCTGTGCTGTTCATCACCTGTCTCAATTTCCAGGGTAGATTCTATACAAGGGATTTGCTACCACTCTTTTAAGGCATTTTGGAAACTGTAGAGCTGTTGGTGTTAGTCACAATGGCTAAGGTCTCAGAGTCTAGGAACAACTGTTGCATATCCTAAAAAAAACCTCCTGAGACTAGAACCTAATTGCATTTTGCATGTATACAAAATACTTTGCATGTTTTAATATTCATTTAATTTCCCAGGATTGTAACTGCCATGAAACTGGAGGGCTGCTGCTGTCCCCTTGTCCCACATCAAGGTTTCTGGTGCCTCAGTTACCATCCTGGAAGGTCAGTCACGGACAGTACCCCTGTTTTTGCTCCTGTCACATGTCATGTGCTGGGGGGTACACCAAGTGCAAGTGCATGGTGCTTCTTTATCTGTCCTGTGACATGGCTCAGCATTCACATGCTGAACCCTCATTACGGACTCCCTTTGTCTTCATCTAAGCTTGGGAATATTGTTAAGAAATACAATATACACAACAGGAACATGATGCAAACATCGCCATTAATCACACACGTCAAGAAAAGGTCAACAATATGTGAGGCTGAGTGCCGGTGTTAATTAGCAGGCCCAGACCCATTTCTCCCATGTTACTATGGAGACTTTCCCTAAATAATTCTCTTTTTGCTTCCTAGACCTTCACATCAAGGCTCCACTTGCTGCAGAGGCTGGACGCGGGGGACTGGAGAGAGGAGTAGCTGTCCCCCTCATAGCCCGCCTCACTGAGTCAGGAGGCTAAGTCTCCAAGGAGGGTCAACTGGAAAGGCCCAGAGCTCAAAATAGCAAACTTAGGCAACTAAGAAGTTCCAGAAAATTCACAGAATGCAGGGGAAGGGATAACTGAAGAAAATATCCCAGAATCACAGAAGGGAGTCTTTCTCTAACAGGTCCTGGGTACTGAAGAGTGTGGGAGAAAAGACCTACCATGAGCTTTATCGGGGAAGTCACAGTTCTAAGATGAAGCAAACATCACAAGACACTTCTGGAGGGAAACACAGGTCACCAATGATGAGTGGGGCCCATAGCATACTTCTAAGAGCAACTCTGGGAACTCAGAGGAAATACATCAATTACTTCACAATTACAACAGGAACTCATGTTCCTTTTTTAATTTGTCTCCAGCCAAACCATCTCAAGGTCAGGGTGAGGGAAAGAAACTTTTCAGACATGAACGCCCTAGGAAGGTTAGTAAGGGAAGGTCTCTGTGCCAGAGTAAGGGAGCAAGAGCCAAGAAAGGGAAGGCCTGGTTTCCGAGAAAGGGGGAACTGGGCTCTAAGAATTAGGAGCTGGAACACAGGAGGGGCAGAGGTCTCCAAACCGACAGCAAGGGTGATACAGGTGGACCCAGATCTGGAGCGCAACATGTTCAGGCACGCGTTCAGAGAGAGGGAGCTAGGACAGGTATTTCCCAGAAAAAAAGTCATTGTGGAAGTTGGAGGTACATACAGTGTTCCTTTCAGAATTTAGGGAAGAATGACTCTTAGAAAACTAAGTAAAACAAGCAGAAGGAAACTCTTTGGGAAATAAGAAAGCTACTCAAGAAGTAAATTTAGTTTAACGTATGATTCAGCTGAAAATAGAATTTCCATAGCCACACACACACACACACACACACACACACACACACACACACAAAGTGGTCCCTGGTTTAACCACAGCTATGAGTAACACTCCATTAAATTAACACAACACAGTGGGATTGGCACATTCAGGCACATCCACAAGACTGCCTCTGGGCTGAATATCTCAGGAATGGTGCTAAAGAGATGGGTCACCTCACTCCCCATCCAGAGGGGTTGGTGGCTGGAGTTGGGGACAGAGTATTTAAACAGTCAGAGTGTTTTACCATGGGCATGCAATACTTTAAAACATGGTAGGTTCCTGGGGGTGCAGACCAATTGGTAGAGTTCTTGCCTAGCATGTGGGAGGCTCTGGGTTTCATCACTAGCACTGCACCAACACAAAGGCAGAAAACCCTCCCCAGATTTTGGTGACACAGTCATCTGGATCAAGGAGGTTGAATGAAATGATACAGACATAGCCACAGTGTCTAGACAGGAACCACCTGCCCACAGCTGTGGTGCTGGCAGCTCCAGAAGCTGATTGCCCCAGGGAAGCCACAGCTGGGTCAGCCCTAGGACATTCTGCATACCTCCAGCACCACCTTCTCTGCCCCTCAGTCCTGCCCAGCTGGGCTGGCCTGCTTGGAAAGGCTCATAAGAAGAAGCTTTAGAGTCTGCTTGAGAGAAATACAGAAAGGGACAGATACTGGGTGGTTCTATATTTGTGAAGTACATACAGCAGTCAAACTCAGAGACAGAAATGAGAATACCACCAGATATCAGTAATGGGGGTCTCCGCTTCATGTTTCGTGGAGCAGAGTTTCAGTTCAGGAAGACCAAAAGGCCTGGAGATAGGTGAGGGTGATACTTGTACTTCATTGTGAATATGCCTAATGCCGCTGAACTGTGTATGCTCACAGGGTTAAAATGCTGAATTTTATGTTACAAATAGTTACTACAATTTTAAAAATTACACAATGGACAAAATGTTAATAAAGAAACACAAAGATCCACTGATGAGTTTCCTATTTTCACGGAGCGCAGTTAAAATGGCGCTGCTGGGGGATAATGGACAATTCAAGTGTAAGAAACTTTCAGATGAAAAAGAAGCCTTGTGAGTATGAAGCAAGCTGGTAACCATCAGGTACATGTGGTTAATAATAACTTTGCTCACTGGTGGTTTGTCTAAAGAAATTATGTTCTTAGCCAAGCATGGCAGCACACGCCTGTAATCCCAGCACTCTGGGAGGTTAAGGAAGGAAGATCACAAGTTTGAGCACAGTTTGGGTAACTCAGTTGTTTTAGCCAGACCCTGTCTCAAAACACAAAAAGGGATGGGGATCTAGCTCAGTGTGAAGGTCCTGCATGCAATCTCGAGTATTGGGCAGGGTATCCGCTGATTGTTCACCTATGACTCCACTTTCACGGCCTCCAAAAGCAGCCTGATAAAGAGCTGACCACAAGCATCAGTCAGGGCCAAGGAAGGCACAGTGAAGGTAGGGACTTAGCATTGAGAGCTGGGGGCTGAAAACAGCACCTCTCAGAGCCAGGAGCCTGCTTGGAGACAGGGGGCCCCAAAGAGCACAGGGCTTGTGGGGACCCAAACTAGCCACTTAACATCTTTACAAAGAGAATTTACTGAGAAAGTAAAAATCCTTCCAGCTTTAGCCCCTGGGAATCATGCCAGAATTTAAAGAGCGCTGGGATTCCTTAGACTAAACACAAAGCAAACAATAAATATGTCCTTTCACCACAAATGTCCCCCTAATTACATCCAGCACCTTCCAGGAGCCTAGGTTTTTGCTTGTATTTGAAAGTCAGTCTCCCTAGTCCACGGGTCTGATGGCTACCGCCTCTCTAGAATGTTTCGCCTGACAAAGGGACATGCCATCTGAGCCGGAGGGCTTTTGACGTGCTATGCCAGACATCAGAGCTAACTGTACCCCCAATTACTCCAGGGAAAGGTCTCTTCCAAGCAGGAGCCTGGACAGGTGGATGTACACAGTTATGAGCTGACACTAGACACAGAGGGCGTGGGTTACTGGTTAGAAGGAGGCCAGGCCCAGTGGCTCAAGACCTGCTAAGGAAGCTGGTAAATGTTCTTGAGGACTGTGGCCTGAGTCCGCACAGCCAAGATGGAGGCAGGAGGGAAGACGGCGATGTGGGCTTTCAGTATTTATCATGAGCACCCCAGCCTATGAGCAGACACTGAGTGTTTTCTACACCTATCAATAAAAGATGACTCTTGGGTCTATCAACAATATCAGATACCCCATCGAACAGGAAAAAGAACCAAGAAGTGAATACTAGCCTAGAACAGATCCAGCTCAAGAGGACACCAGCATGCAAAATATTGTATCATTTATTTTTTTTCCTGTGTATATGCACTCAGCCTTGGCATTTTGAAAAAAAAAATTTGGGGGGATGGATACCGGGGATTAAACTCAGGATCTTGCGCTTGTGAGGTAGGTGGCAGCACCACTGAGCTAAGTCCCCAGCCCTGAAAATACTTTTTTCCCCAGGCATAATGGTACGTGCCTGTAATCTTAGCATGCAGGAGGATGAGGCAGGAGAATCATTACAAATTCGAGTCCAGCCTGAACTACAAAGTGAGACCTTGTCTCAAAACAAAAAATATACTACTTTTTTTTTTTGGTACTGGGGATCGAACTCAGGTCCTTGTGCTTGCAAGGCAGGCAGCAGAACCACTGAGCTAAATCCCCAGCCCTGATACTAGTTTTTAATGTTCTCTCTTTATAATTTTACTTGCATTCTTCTATATTTGCTTCTGTTTTAAAATTGAGAATACGATGGCAAAAAACTGCCATTTAAGTATTTTGAAGACTTTTAATATAATGTGAATGAAACACATATAATCATCCATGTAATAAAATGGTAATTTATTCCAAGAATATTAAATTTAAATATTCATGGAAACTTTTTCTTTGGGCAGTGGAATTATGAGCCATTATTTTCCTCATTGTACATGCTATTATATTTAAAATTTTAAAATACATTCACACACAAGTAAAGTTATTTAAAAAATCTTTTCAGAGGGAGAGGGGAAGTAAAAAGAATTAAGATGTGTTATGTACATGTACCAACTTTCCCCGAAGAATGTAACTGCCTATGAGCTCCTATTATTTCCATCTTTTTCAACCCCATCACAATGAACTGAGGCTTGATTACAAGACGCAGTCACTCCGCAGTAGCAGAAGGGTCCCTCCCTCTGGTCCTGATGCTGGGTCTTCCTCCCTTAAAATGATCCTTCATAGCCAGATCTGAATTCTGAGGGTCATGGTACCTCAGCGCACGACACTAACAAAACCTGGGCACTCTGCCTTCAATGTCTGAGTCTGCCCTTCCCTCTGTGCTTCACTGCCACAAGCAGGTGGCCCGAGGTCAGGTCAATCTTTCCCATCTCAGGGCCGTCATTTCACCAGTTAACTGATATCAGTAATCTGCATCCAACAGATTTTTTAAAAACCACTTTTAGAACAAGTGTATAGTTGCCTCTGTGTTGTGATTTAGGAAGAAAAAAATCTCTACTCCTTGGTGTGTAAAGTGATGTCACCAGTAATGGTTTCAGGTCTTCTTAGCGTCAATTACTTTATCACATTCATTTCTTTTCCTTTTGGAGGGCGAGAGCAATGTGACAGCACAAGGCTGTTATGGAAAAAGGAGATGGAAGCAATGGTAGAGGAAAAACATCAACAGAAACCATTAATGCACCCTGATGCATTAAACCGTACCTTCAACTGGGACCGAACACCAGATGCTTAACCAGCTGTTGTAAAGGAAGTTGAGTATAGATGGTCCTCAACTTAGGATGGTTGGCTTGATGACATTTTGACTTTAGGATGGTGTGAAAGCTATTCTCATCCAGTAGAAACCACTCTTCAGAATTTGAATCCTGACTTTGCCCCAGGATAGTGATCTGTGGTATGATGCTCTCTTGTGATGTCCCAACCACAGCCCACAATCGGCCCTGTGACTGAGAAACTCTGCAGTATTGCTCAGCTAGCATGGGTGCGATCTTATATTTATTCTGTACACTTTTAATTTAGGAGATTTTCAACCTATGATGGATTTATTCAATGCAACCCTATCCTAAGACAAGGGTGTATAGCATCCACAAGACTGTCAAGCCTTTAGAATCTCACAATTGCTCCATATTTAAGGGATGAACACAAGTACAAACCGTAGGTTTCTCAATTTGGAGACTTTGTCATTTTCAAAATTCCTGCAAATACTTAGTGAGAACTTCTGTATATGACACTAACATCTTGTCTCAATTACTTTTCTCTCATTACTGAGACAAGATAAACAACACCCAAAGGTAAAGGGAGAAAGGTTTATTTAGATCCTAATTTATAGAGGTTTTAGTCCATAATCGGCTGTCTCCAAGGCAGGGTGGCACAGCAGACAGGCACTGCAGCGGAGAAATATTTTATGGCAAGCAGAAGGTAGCAAAGCAAGCAAAAGAGAACACAAGCTCCCTTCTGTCTCTTACACTGTATCCAGGCTACTGGGACTAGGGTAGTACTATACCAATCAGTGGACTGACTTAGTAATCACACACCCGTAATCCTAGCATTGCACTATGAATCAATCACAAACTCTAGATTCAGCTACCTCTGCAAAAAGCCCCACCTGTGACTTCATGAAGCTTTGGGGGACATCTGGACACAAGCCACAATGCACCTTATAGAAAATGGTCCCATGACTAACTCTAAATACCATATGCTTCTCTGTAGACTCCCCCCAACTCTGGATAACACACAGACTTTATATTGTGTGTTTTCTTCCCCTCATACAACTGTAATAGCACATACCCTTGAGTAAACATGGTCCACACAGGTATTATTAATGGCAACTCCAACAAAACTGCAGGATAATGAAGTCTTAGTAAACACAAACACTGAAAACCTGAAACTACTTTTTGTGTCCTTCTAGGGACAGAGAAGATTTCCTTGAGGGTCCACGACATGTGAAAAGTGACAGTGCAACAGGTGTGCAAATCAAGTGCCCTGTTTAAGTGTGACCAGCTCACTATCTCCTGCCTGGGAAAATCACTGTGTTTATGAGGACTTCAGTGTCCTTACCTTAGTGTCAAGTTTAGGGAATTCAATGTCTTTCTCTCTTGCCAAGAAATTACACAAATACTTATAATCTTGATTAAGTCACTGTAATTTTTTTCATTGGATCACTCAACAGCTACTGTGCCACCTCAACATGACCTTATGAAGGTGCATGTAGCATTGTCCTAAAATGTCACCTAATTCAGCCCAATATTCATCACTTCTAAGACTTTGAACCACTAAGGTTCTGCTATAAGGCTTGATTTGGAGGTCAAATAAGGTATTTTTTTCTCATTTAGAATGAATTCTGTATAATAAGCTGAAAAGAAGATGAATACATCTGAATCCCACAGTTCTCAAAATATCACCTTCTGAAATCTAAAGCAAAATAAGGCCACTGGTGATCCCAGTTTAAAAACACTCCAGTTTAAGTTTCCTTAAATTAGTTCCTTGGAGCAGACCTGGAGCTGGCAGTCAGGTGTCCAACCAAGGCTACAGAAAGAAGGCCACGGAGATGTGGCTGCCACTCCATGGTCACAGGCTGGCCATGCCAGAGAGATGACAGTGCTGCATCCCCCAAGTGACACCTGATGAGACCAAGTTGCCACTTTCTGTTTCATTGAGCCTTGAAACATTTCCTCATTCACTTGTTATTGAATGATGATTTTATTTTTCTCATCAGAAGTTGTGTCTATATAATGGTAAAACATTTGCTTTCTATAGTTGACAGAGAAAAGAACACAGTCAAATCTCCGGTTTGTTACATCAACCAAAGGAAGTCAGGGAAGTTAGTATTCACTGACCAAACCTACAACCTGGAGAAAATGTGCAAAAAAAAAGCACATCATGGGGAAGTATTAATAGACTAAACTCTGCCAGGAATCATTGCGTCTATTGGTGACTGGGAGGTGTTTTTATGAAAAGGAAACATAAAATGATTCACCGAAAGGCATGACACAGCATGGGGCAATGCCAAGTGTCAGGTCAGAGAAAGTGAAAACGTGACAGAGGAAAGAAGGCTCTGAGCCAGGGCAGAGGAATTCCAGAGACAATGTGATTCAACTCTAAGTGAATCAACCAACCTCACGTTGAGCTTTTGTCAACCACAGGTAAGCCAGTTGTACAAGTGTGCATGCAAAGGGGACCTCATGCCAACACATACACAAACACACACACATGCTCTTCAGGTTAAAAAAAGTTGATCTCAATGCAGAATAGGGATTACTTGAGGCTGGAAAGAGGCAGGGCGAACAGAAGAAGGCTGGATAACAGGTACCAAAATCATGTTCAATGGAAGAAATAAAATCTGGTATTCCATAGCAACATTATTATATCATTATGTAATAACAGCCCATTATGTATTTTATGCAGATTTAGAAGAGAGGAGTTTGAAGACTCCAAACATAAAGAAATGATAAGGAAGCAGGGCATGGTAGTGTATGCCTGTAATCCCAGCACTTGGGTGGCTGAGGCAGGAGGATTGCTGTGAGTTCAAGTCCAGCCGGGGCTACATAGTGAGTTCCAGGTCAGTCTCAACTACATACTGAGACCCTGTCTCAAAAATACCAAAAAAAAAATTTTTTTAAAAGGAAAAAAGAAATGATAAGGAAAGGAAAATTCTAATTACCCCAATTTGACCAGTATACATTGTATGCATATGTTGAAATATCACACTGCACACTATTAATTTGTACAATTACTGCATGTTAATAAGATTAGGTAAATTAATAAGCCAAGAAACAAAAAAAGAAGAAGAAAACAAGCAAACCAAAACCCTTTCAAGTGAAGAAGAAAGAAATGAGAATACCAAAGAGGTGGTATGGAGAGAGGTGCCTGCCCTCTGGCCTTCAGGATCTGAACAGGATAGGATGGCTCGTTGGGCGGGAGAATGGAGGAATCCAGATACACACTGGCTTGGCTGACCCCATCGCCACTGTCCCCAACTCATCACACCCCATAAAAACACTGTGCCTTGGACTGGGCTGTGGTTCTGTGGTAGAGCAGGTGCTCAGCGTGCTCCCTGGGGCCAATCCCTGAACAAAGCGCTGTTCCACTCATTGGTAGAACACTTGCATCCAGCTGTACTTGACAGTGACTTGCAGGTCAGGAGGAAAATGGCCCTCCCAGTGCCCAGGGTCTCTGTGAGCCAACAGTTGTCTGGGTTCAAGCTCAGTTTAAAAGAAGTCAACGACACAGATTGTCAGCTACTACATCCATCTACACACTAAGGGATCAACCTTGTTTGAAAAGAAAACAAAGGCTCTTTTTCCTGTTATTGTTGTTTTAAATTTAGGAGGCTTTGCTTTTGATGTAACATTAGCATAATGACCCTGAAAAAGAAAGGAAGGAAGGACACTTACCTGAAGGATGCAATTATCGATGTTACTTCGTTATCAGGATAATACTGTGTGATTGTATTATGTGCCCTTCGCAATTCCTTCCCATCTTTCCACCAGGAAACACTTTCAGTTTCCTGGTACACATTAGGTATATTGATGGAACAATTAAATTTGACATCTTTGTGTTCGGAAAGTATTATGTGTCCAATTGTGTGATTAAATGCAACGGGTGGTCGGAGCTTTGTGGCAGCAGGGGTGGCCTGGGGGATAGCCGTGTTTCCCGGATGTGGTCTTCCAGGCTGGGTGGGTGACAACATCGAAGCAGGCTGGTACCCACTGGTGTAAGGATAGGAAAATAGCCTGTGGTCTGCTTGCAGGCTTCTTGGGAATAGGTGGTAGGGCTTGGTTTCTTCCCTCATTTTGGCAATAGCTGCAAAACAGAACACCCGAGTCTTAGCCTTTAAATTCATGGTGGAAAGTTTTCCAAGTGGTAGGTCCTCAACTTGATAAGCCATGATGGGGGGAAGCAGAGATCCTTAGTGCCTCCAGAAAAATGAACAGAATCTAACACACATATCCAACACAGAGTACACTTGTTCACTTGTCTCCTCCTAAATGCTTAAGAAATAAATTTCCTACTTACTACCAATAAATGAATAACAAATGAAATTTAAAACTTGTAAATGGCAACTCCTCCCATGTCCTGCATACCCAACTCAATAGGAAGGCAACAGCAAAGGAAAACACAAGGCCGGTTTTCTTACCCTCTGCTCAGTCACATACTATGCCACACATTTGCCCACGAGTCTTGAAAAGGCTGCCTACTAGTCTCAGGGAGATAATTTACAATGTCTGTGTCCACGAAAAAATATGTCCCAGGCTTGGAGCTTCCAGTAAATCCCTTCCTGCTGGAATGAACCAGAACATGTTTTTATTTCAGCTGGCCCACAACTATTTCTAAAAATATAGTCTCACATTAGTTGTACTTTTAGCTGTGTGTGTACACGCATGCGTGTGTGCATAAGGAGTGGCTTTGAGTTATGCCAGAGTTGGTGAATAAGAACACAAGATACTGAGCTAACTGATACCTAACAGAGAGTTTTTGGCATACACGTTCAACCAAGCAGCTAAAACGCTAATGACAGGAGCGAGAGAACTGGGGCAGAAGGAAGGGGCCTGGGAATTTTTCCTCTAGTTTCCTCTGAGCCACATCGCCCTGGACGGTACAAGCGATGGTCAGGGCTTCCCCAGGAGCTCGCTGTCCAGCTTTCACCCTCTTCACAATGGCTCCTTCCAGCCCCTAAAGGGGTTGTGCCTTTGGGAATGAGGAGGGAGGGTGAACGTCAGTCAGGTGGAGGACAGGTGCCCTCACAGGGAGAACCCAGGACCAGCTGTGCTTAGCCAGAGGCCTGAGGCTGGATGGGAGTGAGGGTTACTGTGTTGTTGGTGGGGCGGGGGGTCAACCGGGGCTGAAAGCATTCATTTTCACCCCAAGGAGTGGAGATCAGGGGTCTTTCAGAAAATGACCCCCCAAAAGACGTGGCTTCAGACTTCCAGTGGAGCACTGTGGAGGGAACAAATGGCCGGAAGAACTTTCCCTGAAGTCCCCTTATTGACCAAAGCACCAGATCCACCAAAGAGGGACAGATTACCTTCAACCTTCCTGCTGAGAAAAAAAAATTAAGTGAGCTAGCACCACAGAAGAAGAGACTGAAAAAATCAAAATCACATCCAGACTAGTTTTGTTCCAGGCTGCTTGCTGTCTGTTTTCTGGGCTTGTTCTCCCTGCTAAAATTCACAACCCTGTGCTCCCTCTCCACCGGGTCACCGTCCTGCCTCCCTCTTCCCCCAGGACTTGGGTGTTCAGGCCTCACCCTTGTGGTCCTTCTTTGACGTTCATATTTTTATGACACCTGTGTTCTGGTACGTAAATAAATCTGAATGCTTTCTCTCCTGTTGTCTTGCCTGGTGGCACTTCGTGTCAGCTGACTCAGTTACTGGACCTTCTGAGGGAAGTTGCAACTTCCCTAGAACAGACAAGAACATCTTTACTTCTTCCCACCCATCAAGCTCTGCAAGACTCAGGAGTGTGGGATTTTGCCCAAACAACCATTTTTCCCTTTATATGTATATCCCTCTCTCAGAAGGCACAAAGTGGAGTGGGAGAAACAAATAATATTTTCACTGGTTTGTTTAATTTACTAACAAGAGTTTTCCACTTATAAAGTTAATACAAGTTTGTCGTTAACAAAAATTCAAACACATACTGAAGCACAGACAGTAAAAAGTGGAGCCTGCTGTATAATCCCGACCCCACAAGACGACCTCTCATTACAACTTGGGGTCCAACCCACAGTTTGTAGGAGCCAAGGTGCTAAATCGTGGGGGGAGTCACCCAAGCAGGGGACATCCCTGTAGTCAGGAAACAGGTAAATTCACCCTTCAACTATTCTTTGCATAGCTTGCGACACAACAACCTTGGGTTCTTGAAAAGTGTGTCAAATGATTTAAAGGCCAACAAATATTTATGTAGCACCCGTTGCATTCCAGATTTTCCTCAATAATCCAACAGGAGAAAGGAAGGGGCAGAATCACAGAGGGCCTCAGGAGTTAAGGGGGAGACAGGAAATAATTACCTGGGAAAAGGAAGGCCTAATGGTTTGAATGTCTCTCCCCAAAGTCCATGCATTAAACAAAGTCCTCAAATTCGTATGCTGATTGTGTCAGCTGGTGGGGCCTTGAGGAGGGAAATAGGATCAGAGGAGGGCATGTGCCTAGGTCCCTGTTAGGTGGCATTTGTTAGGAGAGAGATCTTGCTCTGTTTCCGCATACAATACATCTCCCACATTATGGTGTAGCACATGGCCCTGGCCAGGTCTTGGCACCATGCTCTTGGACTTCCCAGCCTCCAGAATGTGAGACAAATAAACTACCATTCTTTTAAATTATTGGCCTTAGGCGTTTTGTTACAACAACGGGCAATGCACTAAGACGGGAGGGAAGCTGTCCTGAAGCCTCAGGGAGGCCATCCTTTCCTCCCTCCCCATAGTTAACATCCCAGGGTCAGGTCTGGATCCTCCTCTTCAGAACACCTCTTGTGATTACTCATTATTTCTTTCACCTTCCTGCTCTGAAAGCCCCATCAGACCTACTACCATCAGCATAGACAGTTCAAAGGAGGAACTCAAAGTGAAAGTTTGTTGAGTGAGAAAGTAAAAGCAAGGATTTGAGAGGGGTGAGGAAAGGTACGGTTTCTAGAGGAGAGGAAGCAGGAAATTGGAGAGAAAGGCAACAGTCCTGTGAGTTTGGGAAGGGCAACTGAGTTGTAGAGTAGACTCCTCTGCTAGGACAATGGAAGACAAAGTGAAATTAGGCCGAATGTAAAGTCAAGAAGCGAGCGGAGACAAGAGTTCCTGGGAGCAGATCACAGCTCTGCTTGATGAAGGGCATCTGGCACCACGGTCTGGCTGAGTGGAAGGAAGAAGAGCAGAAGCCAGAGGTCAGGAAGAGAAACCTACAAGGAAGATGCTGAAGACCTAACTGCCGAAGTGGGCTAGGAGTAGGAGATGCAGGAGTCAGCGGAGGGGCTCACAGCAACAGCATCCTCATTCCAGCCAGCATAACAGAAGGTCAACCTGACACCAGGCATCAAGGCAGGTGAAACCCTGACACGAGAGAGAGATCCCAGGAGGGAACAAAGGTTGGCCGGAAGCTGCTGTGGTGGTTTCTCACAGACACCATGGGATGAGAGGGAGGTACTCTACATGCTGCCGTTAGGAATGAAGCAGATATTGCTAAGTCCGGCTCACAGTAATGACTCAACATGTTTTTATTATTTTCTCTTTTAATTGTGAGCGCTTAAAAACATACCATTGTCCAACACTGGAGCACTATGATCTGCACGCGTTGGTACTGAAGGCTGGAGCCCTATGCATTGTTGGTGAGATTCACACTGCAAAACTTCAGGGGTACTGTCATTCACTGTCATCTGTATAAATGGTGCTCTAGAGTGTGCAATGCACAGCTCACTATGGAAAATGATGGGAAGGGTCAAAACCAAAACCATTCCCATTTTGGGACCCCAGGGTCAGGGCAAAGACAAATTATAACATACATCTTAAGCTTCCAGGTTTTCACTGTTTCAGCACTTGGATTCTGTAATGCACCTTACTTTCTTTAGCTCCCACAGACCGAGAACATTTTCCAAGTTATTTTGGAGGGCACGACGATGAGTGACGAGATCAGACAAATAGACTTGGTCATGTAGCAAAACTTTATCAATTGTTATTATCATGTTCCTGTTATCTCAACAACAAAAGCAAGTGTTGTGGGCCTGTTTGCTGATGACCATTTTGGAGACACTTTTCAAAATTTGTTTAGTCAGTTTGAGAGATGTATTAAAAACCCACATCACTGACTTCATGTAAACTTGGTTCTTTGGAGACAGGACATGTGGAAGAGTGGACTATCTCTTGTTGTAATTTGGGTGGAATGCACAAAAAATTGTGCCCAGCAAGCATTACCTTGATTCCAAAACCAGAGAAAGAGCCATCTAAAAAAGAGAGCTACAGGTCAATCTCTCTAATTCAAAAATCCTCAATAAGCTACTAACAAACAGAATGCAGCACATCATCAAAAAGATTATGCACCATGACCAAGTAGGATTCACCCAGGGATGCAGGGATGGCGCAATATATTCAAATCAATAAATGTAATACACTATATTAACAGTGCCAAGGACAAAAACTATATTATCATCTCAACAGATGCAGAAAAACCATCTATGTTGACAAAGTCCAACATCCATTTGTGATAAAACCCTCCAGAAAATTGGAACAGATGGTCTTTAGCTCAATCTGAACAGCCAACATCATATTAAATAATTAAAAACTGAAAGACTTCACTCTAAAATCAGGAACAAAGCTGGGTGTGGTGGCGCATGCCTGTATTCCCAGGACTCGGGAGGTTGAGGCAGGAGGATAGCTGTGAGTTCAAGACCAGCCTGGGCTACATGGTGAGTTCCCGGTCAGTCTCAACTATATAGTGAGATCCTGCTTCAAAAAACAAAACAAAACAAAACAAAAATAAAATCAGGAACAAGACAAGGATGTCCACTATCACCACTCTTATTTAATAGAGTCTGGAAACATTGGCCAGAACATTTAGACAAGAAAAAGAGATAAAAGGAATAAGGATAGGAAAGAAAGAAGTTAAACTACCATTTCCAGATGACATGATATTCTACATAGAAGACCCCAAAAAATTTCCCAAAAGACTTCTAGATTTAATAACCAAATACAGTAGCGTAGCTGGATACAAAGTCAACTCAAAAATCAATAGCATTCCTGTATGCAAACAACAAATTCACTGAGAGAAAATGGTTAATTAGTTTAGTGTATGGAATAAAAAAAGAATTAAAAGTCTCATCCC